TTCCCTGTCTACTGTGTTGTCTGCATGGTTGTTAGTTTGGTGGAGAGAGAGTGTTTGGGACAGGTGTAGGAGAGAGTTTAGGAGAAGTCAGGTACCTCAGCATAATCCAGACTTTAAGAACTGGTTGTAGAATGCTTACTGTGTGGCAGACACTTTCTCAAGTGCCTTACATATAGTAGCTCAATTTTTGTAAAACCAAGAGGTAGGTGCTTTTCTGTTTTTATTCTCACTTTCTAGGTGAGAAAACCGAGATTGAGGGACATTTAATAATTTCTGAAGTTTGCACAGCAAGTAAGTGATACAGTCCAGATTAAAACCTCACCAATCTGTCTTCAGAGTCTCTGCCCTCCCCCCTCCATGTTTTCTATATTTCTTATCTATAATAAAACCTTTGTTATTGAAGATAAAATGCAATTGAGGTTATTAAGGATATTCTACAAATAGCAGGTTTTTCTCTTCCTGATGATAAAAATGCTGCTGCGTGTCTGGTGATATCGCAATAAAGTGTTTAGTTTTTGTGCTATGAATAAAGCAAAAAAGTTTGAATTGTTTTTATGATGTCACAATAATGGTTGTTAAAACAGCAAGTTTCGGTGGTTTCATTGAGGTTCGGTGTTTAGGGTTCTTAAATTATTAGAGCCGAGAGAGGGCCTTAGAATTTAGAGTAATAATCCTTGCCCTCCCCTCTTCAATGGAGTCCCAGGTAAGTTTGTCATTGGTACAAGTTCCCTCGAATTCTTGCTTTTTGCATGATTCTCAGCCAGTGGTTCTCAGCACATTGTAATCAGCAAAAATTCTGATGCCTGGGTCTCACTCCAGAGATACTGATTAAATTGGACTGGAGTGTGGCCTGAGCCTCAGGATTTTTAAAAGCTTTGATAACCATGGTTCTAAACTATTTAGTACTCTGCTTCAAATGACCTTCTGGCTCCTTTTTGGGATAGGAGAGGAATGCGGTGAGATAAGTTAAAGCTCCTGCTGTGTCAATTCTAAGAGGGTTATGTAAGGATCCCTCCACATTCTCTTTTTTCGTGAAATTTCTTTTCAGTCCTGCCCAATGTTCCCTTGGATCTCAGGCATCAGTGTATGTGGTTTTGTGATTATCCTAGAGTATAGATTTTGTCATTTTGTTGATGACAACTTTGTCTCCTTTGAAGTCTCATTGGTTCTCTGATCTGAGTAGGCGTTGGAGGAAGGACACACTGCAAAGCATCAACCTGGTCTTGGAGCTTTCTCCCTGACTATCCTTGTCCACTGCCAGGTGGTATTAATTTTCTGTAGCTTAGACCACATGATTTTACAGGTGTCAGTCAATACAATAGAGGACTTCTGAGGGTGCGGGGTGGGGGTAGGGGGGTTGTTGAAAGACAATGAATGTACAGTATAAGAAAATCAAGGAGCACG